ATATCTCACATACAGTAAATTTTCCTAAGTTCTTAAAGCTAGAGGAGTTTTGATTGCATAGAAAAAACAGCTTCACCATTCACATGTTACCAGTTATTATTTACTATTGCTATTCCATGCTAATGACACACTTTGCTCAGTCAAAACAACGGCAATGGGAAGAAAATGCAACATGTGGTCCTCGTTTTTTTCTTTTCCTGACAGAAACCCCAAGATCATCACACATGACATCCACCAACACCTCCTAGCTGAAAATGCTGCACATCCTAACTTGTGGACTAAGATGCAATGCTTGCACTTGGAATTTTCTGGAATGATTATTTCACCTTTGCTTTTCTGTATTCCTGAAAGAATGCCTTATGCAATGGTCATTGTTAATACCATTAATTCTTTCTGGAGGGGGAAGTAAATAATGAAAAAAAAAAAGATAAAATCTCCACTGCGTCTACCGCACGCACATGTCACTGTACTGTCCCTCTGTGAATGCCACTACCTGAAGCAAATAAAATGCACAGGAAGCCACGACCCATCAGGGAGGACATTGGCCCCCTGATGCAAAGAGCAGACGCCCAAGGCATCACTGGCTTAATCTCTTCTGAAGTGGTGAGTTGTAGATCCAATTGTCTCCCACCAGGTTGAAAAGCTTTGTCTCCCAAGAGATGCTGTTCTCCTTGCGGTACTTGGCCTCATCGCGCTGCTTCTGCTCCAGGGCGCACTTGGCTGCTGTGGCGTGGTCAATGTGGTTGAATCTGTGGCAAAGGAAGGCCCACTGAGATGCACGTCATTATCAGCACATGCAAAAACACAAGCATACAATCAGTCACAAAAATACACATGAACTCATTCTTGTGAAAAACACAGACCCCTAGAGAGAGAAAGAGATGAACAATAAAAAGAAAGAGAGAAAGCACGAAAATGAGAGAAATTGAAAACACAAGCCATACTTGAGTCCAGCTGTAACTTCTCTCCACATGAACCGTGATTCGTTGAGGGCCTGTTCATGTACTGGTTTCACAATCTTCTTCACTGTGGCCATGCTCTGCGTATCAACGAAGGTCTCTGTCGACTGGTGAAACAGAGGTATGAGGGTTGTGGGACAATGTGAGGAGGAATCTGAATGAGATGTCCAAATGGAAATATTGGAAGTGAGATAAATATATAAAAATCATAGGTTTGAGATGGGGGGAAAAGGGGGAAAGAGAGAGGGAGAGATTGTATAATATAGGTATTATCATAGTGATGATAATGAGAGCATAAATAACCATACTTAAAGCCAAAACTATTAATTGTAATTGGTAAATATCAAAATTGTTATCCATCAATATCTAATATCAAAACTACCCATTATCAGTTTTACATCTGTTTCTGTACTTGCATGGACTGGATGAATTTTATCCTGATCAAAAACAATGGTGGAGTTAAAAAAGTGCAGGTGAAACCTCTACTTACGCCATCTCTCCACTTAGCTGTCATCACACCATTCCACTCGCCTTCCACTGTCAACACCGGCTTCTTCTCCCCAGGGTTCAGAATCTCTGCAGATATTCTGTGCTTCTTCCCGCCATAGAATGGCTGGGATGAAATGGATGAGGTTTGAATGTTAGATGGTGTTGTAATCTTAGGAAATTATTATTTATGATTACATATGAAATTGCTACATTATTTTTTAATACCATACATACACAGAAACCCAGCATACCTTTGTGAGGAACTCAATGTTGGCACTATAACCTGTCTTATTGCATGTGATCTGACAAGTCCCTCCCAACTCCACCCAAGGAACAGTCAAGATGGACCTGGAAGTAAGAGGTGATCAGTGTTGTCTATTGTCTACGGGCTGAATTTGCATATATGGAATCATTAGAGAGAGAAAGAGAAAAAGAGAGAGAGAGAGAGAGAGAGAGAGAGAGAGAGAGAGAGAGAGAGAGAGAGAGAGAGAGAGAGAGAGAGAGAGAGATACCATATGCACTTGATCCTTTATAACCTATTGGATCCAAATGATGTGACATTGGTCATGAAAAATATTGGCTGAGGGCTGGCTGACAGGAATGTGCAGTCATCAAAAATTAGGCTGAAGAGTTACTTGCCATGAGTGCACAAGCTCTTGGAGGAAGATTAAACTCAGAGTATTTAAGAAGGGCTCTTGTATTGTTTCACTTGTAAATGATGATGGAATGTACCATCTGTGAGCCATGGCTGGAAGAGCACTGGCATAAGAGAGGACATTATTTCCATGCTAAAGATCCTGTTCCTGCCTACTATTTATTATAGAAAATTAAATAATACAAAAAAAATTATCATCATTATCACTGCACAGACTTGTAGACTAGTGCTCATTAGCACCAGCTCTTTGTAATCCTGTCATATTTATAATCCTCAGTGGGAATATCAACATCATTACTCGTTTCTTTTGTTATATGAACATATATATATACACGCACACATATATATAATATAATTATGAAAATTTGTCACAGTTTCACTCATGAGAGTTGGTGACCCTTGAGATGGGTGGAGTTAAGCTGGACAAGATCAGTATGTGATTTGACAGATTTTCTCTGATATTATTTTTGCAACTCTAACCTTTAGCATTTCTGCCAGTTTTGAACCCCTTCCTGACGGGTCACGCCCTGAGGCGTCATAACAAACTGCTCTATCTGTGGCGTGTGGCTGTACGCAACAGCGGCGCACCAAAGCTCTGTGAGCCAGTGATACAGCTTGACGTACTGAACACCCGCACTCAAAGGCGGCGTGTTGCCGATGATCTCCAGAGCATAGTTTTTTTTTTATTTTCTATTTTTTTCACCTGTCATCAAGGGGTTAAGGGTGCCATCTTGTGTCCATGTGTGTGGGGACAGGGTGAGTTTGCATTTGGATAATAAATTTTTGAATATCTATAAATCTAAAAACTTACCTAAGAATATGCAAAACAAAGTGAGGTATTCTTATTACAAAGGGATAAACAACTACCTATTAAAACTTAGTTTGCTTGATCAAAGAACTGATAAAATTGGTATGAAAATGATGCCACATTATATCATACTGCATCAATATTTTAATTTTTTGAGACCAACTTTCAAGAGAGGCTCAAACCAAGATGCTTCTGCATCACAAAATTAGAAGAAAATGAGAAGCCAGCACCCCCAAATGAAAATCAATAGGTACACTTCTGTTGATAACCATTGAAGACCTTATGTTACAGCTAGTGATGACCTGCTAAAAGCCTGCAGCTCCAGTGAGAATGAGACTTACCGCCCGTAACCGCTGGGGAAGTTCAAGATGTACTCCTCATCGTGCTCCATGACGGAGACACAGCCCTGGCCAATATTGTACACACAGATGGATAGTCCAAGGAACTTTGACTTGGTCCAGATGTGGCTGCAGAAGGAGATACGCTTGGCCTTGTTCTCTGCATAGAAGGCAGAGATGGGGGGGTGGTGAGAGACCTGTTCTGCCACGAAGCACAGGTTGTTGTTGGTGCCCCAAGGAACGGGACCATCTGGCACGGTCTCCTCTCCAGGACGCACCCCAGGGACCTCCCAGTAGCATCTGGGGCAGAGACAGGCTTGTGAGAAGGGGATGCCAGAGTGTGGCTTATCTTAGTGGCTTGCAAAGAAAACTGTTATGGAATATTGCTGAAAATGAACTTTTGAGTCTTTACCTATTTTTGTCTTTCTCTATTTTCTACATGTCTGTCTTCCATTGCAACTTCTCTCAAACTTTTTCTCCCTCTTTCTTTTACTTTCTTTATTTCTATATCTGGTTGTCTGCCAGTCTATGATCATCTCAACAGCTGGTTAGAATTTGACAAAGCTAAAGGAAAAACAATTTCAGCTTCTAAACTATCACTGCTTACATAATGCTTCCAAAAATTTAACTCATTGCTGCCGGGGAAAACGAACAAAAAATGGGGAAAATGCTGTGCCTATTTTTTATACTATTTTGCTAAATGTCTGCCCATAGATGGCTCTGTTAGCGCCTGATTTGAAATGGCGGGAAAAACATATTTTTCACTAGTGCCATGAATATCGATGGTGTTATTTCTATTATAAATATTATAATTTTTATAATATTTTTTAATAGTAAAGAGCAAAATAAGATAACGTAAAATATTTTGTAAATCAAAGAAAAGGGTGAATGGGCAAGACAGGCGGTACTTGTAACTGGCTCATTGGTGATTTAGTACAAGTGTAGCCATCTATGTGTAAAAACAATCCAACAAGTAATCTCACAGTGGGCAAGGCATGGCATGCCCGGCAGGAATGGGTGTAAATAAATAGGGACTACAATAATTTCTATATATATATACATATACATATATACATACATATATATACATACATACATACATACATACATACACACACACACACACACACACATATATATATATATATATATATATATATATATATATATATATATATATATATATATATATATATATATATATATACACACACACACACACATATATATATATATACACACACACACACACACACACACACACACACACACACACACACACACACACACACACACACACACATATATATATACATATATATACACACACATATACACAGATAGTCCCCTACTTACGAACATTCCATACATACAAAGAAATTCTTAAAAATACTTAAGTCAAAAAAATTGTTTGAAAGATGCTAGCAAACTTCAAATTTCCCGGGCACAAATATAGTTCATGAGTCTGCCATGACTCAGTCACCTGCCCTCCTGCCATAAACACGAAAGCATTTGTTCACTGTGTCCTCGAGTACTGCCAATTTTTGTGCCATAATTCGCTTTACCGGTGCATCAATCCATCAAAAATGTCGGGTGTGAAGAGAAAGATAAACGGTGAAGCCAGTGGAAGTGCCAAGAAACATCAGGCTATAATAGCCAGTCACCACTACAATATATTTTCTTTTTGAATAAATTATGTTTCTACATTAAAGTTGTATGAATCACCATCAAATAATATTAAAAGCATTACA